ATTCGGCATCATTTGTAGTCGGCCGACTAGTGACGACTATTCGGCAAAATCTGCCGATTTTAATCGGCGCATTACAAAATTAAATGTGTGAATGAAAAATAACTCATAATCACCTAGATGATTATGAGGTAGACCAAGGGCGTTTATCTAAACCATTTTTGACTGCAAAAAAAATCAGTAGAAAGTGGTTTCACCTGATTTAAAATTTTGGCAATCAGTCTAAATTCATGCAAAGTTAAGATTAGTTCAAATTACCAGGAAATCATCAAAAATGTGTAAAGTTTATGTAATTTGTCGATATAAAAATTGTGACACTTTTCTTCGGGGAAAAAATGCATGGAAATGCTGCGGGAAAGTGGTAGATTATGTGGGCTTCTCTCATCGGAAGGATGAGGAATACCCACATAAATAACCCCTGAGCTCCGTCGATCGCCTTAGTGTGCAGAACTATGGGAATCCGGACAAACTATCACAGTCTGTGCCAGCAATAAAATTGGCGGGCCCTGCCTATCCGACGGTGGTGGCAGTCCGTGCTATGCAGGCAGGGGTACCCCCACGCCCCCAGCTCGCTGACCATCACCGTGGAGGGTGGAGAGGAATCAGTGGGCCTAGGATGCGTGTCGCGATAAACGAAATTTTGCCCATACATTTTGACGTCGATAAGTAAGTATAATAACACGGTACGCATCCTAACCCAGCATGAGGCGATCATATTGTAAACTCCTCTGGCCCCTCCGCCGTCGAAAATTATGACATCTACCTTAGGTACTGTTAGGTGATCGTAATGTTGCTTTTTATTTTTTCTCATATTAAAGATATTTCATTTCTCAAGAAGTTATATTTATCTCTCTAGAAATCTAGATACCTATTCTTATTTCTTTGAGAAATCTAGATATTTCTTCTTTCTTCGGACAAGTAGGTATTAGAATGATCGGCATTGCCGACTAGTCGGCCGACTAATCGGCAATTTCAAAACCGATTAGTCGGCTAGTCGGTTAGTCGGCAAAGACCATAGTCGGCCCATCACTATTAAAAATGTATTTATTGCTTTTTAAAGTATTCTCCGCGAAATTTGACACATTTTTCCATACACGAAACCAATCATTGAAGCAACCATTGCATTCGGAAGTTTGGGTCTCCAAAATGGCCGTTTTGTAGGCTTCCACAGCTTCTTCAAGTGATGAAAATCTCTGACCACGCAATTTATTCTTTATTTTAGGGAAAGTATAGAAATCATTAGGGCNAAACATTGAATTTTCAGATAGATCCAGTTTATTCTGTAACCTATTATTGGTACCGTTTAAAAGAGCTCTTGAAGCACTTTCAGGATCAGTAACCAGTTTTTCAATATCTTTTATAGTTTAGAAATAATCGAGATCACTTAACGTTTCCACCCTGTATATCTATAAAAGCGAAAGGTCACTGACTGACTGACTCACACTCATCACATCTCAGAAATTACAAATGCTAGGAGTCTCAAATTTTGCATAGGGGTTCCTTTTAGAATGTAGGTGCTCACTAAGAATGGAATTTATGAAACTCTATCCCTAAAGGGGTAAATCGGGATCCATCATCCACGCGTACGAAGTCGCGGGCGGCCGCTAGTCCTTCATAATATAACTAAGAAAATAATACACTTGACCGCAAAGAAAATGGGGCCGTTACAAAATCTTCAAAAGTACCTGACCTAGTTTTATAAAATGAAGATGATTTATATTTTTAACACCTAAATGTTAAATAAATAAAAATGCTTAGTTTTTCCAGGAATTTATTTCATGAAACTAGGTCAGGTACTTTTGAAGATAAAGAAGATTTTCCAACCGACCCTTTTCTTTGCGGTATTTAATACACTGGGTATTTTCTCTATTCCAAACTTAGGAAAATTGTAAAAAACACGGTGAAGGCTGTATTACAATTCAGGTTAATATGTAACCACATATTGTATTTATGTTCTAGAATTTCCTAATCAATATTACCAATTGAAAGTTAAAAAATACAATTGGTTTCAAAGCAAAAGCTTCAGTTCCATGGTAGTGGTCAAGTACACCGTAAAATCCTAGCAAAACTCATAAAAGCTACAATCGCGCGAAGTCCTTTGCGAAGCCATAAAACCTTCTATTGCCATGTCCCTTTCAGTCTTTCAGTGGAATCAAGACACTTCTCGCACATATTTCATCAACACAAGTGTTGGACGCGTAAATTCAAACTCTAAAAGAATCATTTTTCCAAGATCTAGTTCGTGGCTGCAAGTTCAAATGAATGAAAATTCTCGTATGTAGTCAGTATTCCAGTTAACTAAGACTTTCAATTTATTTTAAATCTACCTTCTTCTTCTTCTTTTCGTGTCGACAACAAACCTACACAGTGTCAGCCCAAAACTCCGCCACAAGAGTGGCGTTGTCAGTAGCACTCATCAAATTCTCCTGAGTGCAGTTGCTTGGGCACTCAGGGCATGACATCAGCTGCTTTATCGACTGGGGAACAAAACCGCACCTGCACTCCATGTTTAAGCCATCCAAGAATCCTCACCTGACCAGATTAAATCTACCTTATTAAAATTTGTTCCAAGATTTTAATGTTGTAAAATTATCTTTGTTAATCCACAACGAAGAAACTCTTAGCCTGCATTTCACCTGAATGAAAGTGATCATCAGGCTGAAGGTGGAAGTGAGCTTCATCCGGAAATTCTGAATTCTTTAACCACAGAGGAATTGTATAATTAGAAGGACATAATTGGATGATGTTGGTAGTTAAAATACATTGTTTCTTTGTCAATTGAATATTGTATTTTTCTTATGACAAACTTCATCGCGGCGCCGTTGTATGTGTGGATTTCAACAAATTTTATAGCCTATGCTATTATTTTATATTAAAAATTTAAAAAACTTTATAACGTTTTATCAAAATCCGTTCTGTAGTTTTGCGTAAAAGAGCATCATCCAGCCATATAGCCTCGCAAACGTTCATCACTATAATATTATTATAAACTAGCGGCCGCCCGCGACTTCGTACGCGTGGATCCCGTTTTATCCCCTTTTCCCGAATTTTATTTGCTATAAACCTCACGGAGCCCGAGACCTTTCCAACGAATGCAAAACCGTGGAAATCGGTTCGTGCGTTCTGGAGTTATAGCGTCAGGGAGGAAAACCCGACTTATTTTTATATAGTAGATATTCGTGTAGATTATTGTCTACACGGCGTTTCTTCTCAGCACTTGCCATATGTTTGTCTCGAAGCGCTGGTAGGGCCCAAAAGATAAGGAGACATGTAAAGTGACCCATAAGGGCTACTTTTTTCTTTTTTTATTATTTTCTATTGACGTTCATAAGTGCCACTTGTGGTCTAAACTGAATAAATATTTTTGATTTTGATTTTGATTTTACATTCGCGTTATGCTTCAACCACACCAACACGTGCAGATGGCCATCGCCGGCGCTATCACGGCGCGATCATTATTATATTATTATTGGTTATTGGGCCTTTATTTGCGCCAACTCGACCAGGTTTGATCTATTGTGGCAGCCCTTGTCTTTAGAGTTCACTGCTTAGTCCCGTTGAGTCTATAAAACGGCGCGATCATAGGCAAATGACAGGTCGCGCGGACTGTCATGGGTCGCGCGACCTGTCATTGGCTTATCATCGCGCCGGCGATGGCGATCTGCACGCGTTGGTGTGGTTGAAGCTTTAGGCATTTCCCAGCTATTACATATTAAAAAACTTTTTTATACGTCCTTGTTCCCAGCATACATTGTAACCGCGCCGCCCGCTGCCCTCGTAACGCCGCCACTTGTTACGGCCAGTATATTTCATTTAGGACCTGTGATTCGGTTTACGGGGATGTAAACTTTATACGTCATCCTCCAAGGGGGTTGCATGAATTCTGGGGGGACTCGATTATGAGATGTTTGGGAGTTACGTAAGAAGGGTTTGAACTTATTTAACTTGTATGGGAGTACATGAGTCAAGAATAGAAATAGAAAATATAATATAAGACATATGGGAAAAGGAAAGCGAAAGGAAAACGGGATGAACATAATAAAAAAGACAGGGAAAATCATTTTAACTAAGCTTGTAATACCTACCCAGTGGTCGACCAATGCTACATTTTTTATGCAGAACAAGGTATAAGGCATATAGTACGCAGACCTGACGGCCGATGGGGCAGCAAGGTTCTGGAATGGAGGCCACGTACCGGAAAACGCAGCGTGTGACGTCCACCTACAAGGTGGACCGACGACATCGTAAAGGTAGCAGGGAAGCGCTGGATGCAGGCCGCTACCAATCGATCAACGTGAAAAGCATTCGGGGAGGCCTATGTTCAGCAGTGGACGTCCTATGGCTGAAATGATGATAATGATGATGAAGGTATAAGTGATTTGACCGCAGTCACGCCTAATTTTAAGTGCGATGCAGTGTACATAACTGCCTTGTAAGTTAGCGAAACGCTTAGGTAAAGCTGGCAGAATGTTGACAACGTAAGAATAATACGCCAACTTGCGTCTGGTTCCCCGGTGATGGAAGGGGACTGGACTGACCCCCTCGATTTGCCTCGAGTACTTATAATATTTTATAGGAAATCGTGCATTTGTAATGGAAACTACCACGTGGGTCTAGACAAAGTGCACATTATAATCGCAAACCATTCGAAAATCCTTTTTTGTATGGTGTTTTGTCGGACTCGATTTTCGATTCGATCAAAAAGGGGAATTTGTCTAGGGCAGCGGTTCCCAAACTTATTTTGTCTACTGCCCATTTTGAGAATAAATTCTTTTTAGCGCCCCCATTTGTAGTCGAGTGCTCAGTCGGTGTCTAAAAGTCCTCCTAGTAAATGACGCCTCCCAAGCCTCTACACAACGTCCCGATTTTTTTTCTGGGTCTCTTACCGCCCTTTAAGCCTGCAGCGCCCACAAGGGGGCGTTATCGCCCACTTTGGGAAAGACTGGTCTAGGGGGCTGGTGAGGATAAAAGCATATCACTAACATCTATATTCCTCATTCCAGGGCTTCTCCCCCACCGTGATGAAGACCCTGGTAGACTCGTCCAGCGGCGGCGCCCGCGCACAACTCCGTCTCGCTCTCTCCAAGATGGTGGACCGGCGCGACTGCGAGCACGAGTACGCAAACAACCGTGCGAAAGAGATGGTCGACGAGCTGGCCAAGGATGAGTCCAAGTTATCTGCTGAGCTCAGATATTTGCAGCCTTTGGTTTATGCTTATTAAAAGATCGAAATAGTTGTAGTTTATCAAGTAACGTTCAAAAGCTATTTCTTACAGTTTCTTAAATTATGGCCAACGATAATAGTAATTATAACAGGTTTATCCAGCAATACCCAAAAGCATATCACTCTTCTGGAAAACACAGAATCTTATAACTCTCGCTTCTAAAATAAGATCTAAAAAATGTAATGATCGATAATCGATTTGTACTCCATAAGTCCTTAAAAATACGAGTAAACTATTTTGTAACTAAATTAGGGACTATGAGAAACGATCGCGAAATCGAATCTTTAACTAATCTTACTTCACAATTTCAAGACAAGTTTAAATCTAGCATGTCATTTTATCGATTTGGGACGATGTCACGATACAATTATATCGTATCATCTAAACTGGTAAAACTATTACCTAAACCGTATCTGTATCAATTTCTATGTATTTATTATAGCCATCTTTAAAGAAAAGAAAAAGAGCATTTATTAAGTTTATTATTTACACGCCCTTTTCTGTATTTTTTGTAACGTCTATAATTTCTGAGATATTACTAAAATATCATGTACAAGTCAGCAACTAAGGACAACGGATAGTTTTTAAGTTAAATTGTATAGTAACTAGCAATTAATTATATTAATAATAATATTAATCTCAAAGTGCATTTGATAAAGACTTCAGTTTAGTATTAAAGTGATATTCATCTTATTTAATATTGTATAAACCGAATTATGTATTCTATACTTTATGATACTTAAGTTTTATTAAAATCAGTATTTGTAAGTGCGTTTTTAAATTATTTCCATTATCAAGCCTTTTTTAATAACTAGTTTTAGTAGGATCTTTCACACTATGTCAACTTGAAATTGTGAACTCCGTCAGTTTATAATATAACGCGTAAGATTGTAAACAATAGTGAGTTGAGTTGAGCCCCACAGGGTAGCAGGTATCCTGTCCCCGCAGGGTAGGTATGCCATTTCATGCATTCTTTCCCCGACAAAAAGAACGTTAGATTGTAATCTAACTACGTCAGATTATAATCTGACTAAATTCACAATTTTATGGTGTAAATATGTATTTATACTTTGGCAAATATGTAGGTATTTTTTTTGCAATCTTCTGAACTTTATTGAAGACTGCAAAATTACTTTTAATTTTTTTTTCATTAATTGTTGGTGATCAAATAAATAAATGAACCCATTTCCATCGCAAGGATAATTTCAGAATTCAGTTTTAAAAATAACTAAAGGTCTTTTTATAGGTTCTAATAAAACAAAGAAGAAAGTGCACCATTACAAACATAACCCTTTTTCTGGCGCATTCGGATAAAAAACGATTGACCTGTTTCCCATTCCAAAATGCACAGAAAATCCTCATGCCCAGCAAACGTAGCCGATACAGAAAAAGAATCAAACGTAATTCAATTAACGACTCGGCTCGCTCGCAGCTTGTTTGCGATCAATCGATTTCAATTTCAATTGATTCCGATTTCTCGTTTCCCTGACTCGGCTCCAATATTCTTAGTATCGGTAAAAAGACGCAACAAACTTTTCTAGAGACTAAATCCGAGGACTTATTATTACCTAAAAGGTATCGGATTTGGACACTGTTCAGAAAATAATTGGTTGAACTAACTCAGGAACGTGGATTTTAAATTGAAACGGCTGGCTCTTTTTCGTTACCGATGTGTAGGGTGGGTGCACCAGTCCCACACCAGGAACCTGTAGTACACCATTTCTAATTTCACATCAAAATATTAACAATCTGTCGATTTTCCCGCCACTTTTGTTACGTTTGGTAGCACTGCCGTACTTCTACCAATCATTAGTCCTAAATAAAAGCGACAAACACGACTTGCACGATCTGGTCAACCTTAGGCACATTGCTACTTTCTACATTGATTGTTAAATAAAAACAAACCTTACAGCTATTAAGAACATTGGAATAAGCTACTTGATTCTATGATAGACAAGGAGTAGTTAATTCTTTTTTTTGCAATTATCGTTGTAATAATTGAGTCACAATCACAATATCAAAATTACCTACTTTTGAAATGTCGCTTATTCGGTTTGTTACTGGTACACCCACCCCATTTGATTTGAAATCAATACAAGGGACCTAAAACGTAATCTGTTCAAAAACATCTGACAGTACCCAAAATCATATTGGCAGAGAATGCCTTACGGCATTAAGGTCGCCTTATGCACGTACAAATTAATATGGCATTATAAAATGTACCTATGTAACAGGTAGATTAAATAAAAACAGAATCTCAATTAATCGCAAGACGCGCGTCTTTGTGCTTATTTAAAAACTACAGGGTTGCTAAAAATGTGTAAAGCCCGGTCCGTGAGCACGTAGAATTTTGTTGACTACTATAGTCTTCGTCTATTTTAGAAAAGTACATACTTTGTAATGAATATCATTCAGGCCGTTTAGTGGTTTAAGATATTTATTTTCTCAAAAGATTACAAAAATCACTTACAGAGAAAATACAATTCAACAAAAATATTAATTATGTAAACGCGCGAACACAAAAGTGGGTACCTATCTCATGTATATTATTGATATAGATCAGAAACAGTAAAGGTCCAAGGATCGTTTATGGCAGTTTTAATATAAAAATAATATGAGGGTAGATAAATAAGTTATATCAGCGACCGCGGTCCACGCGAAATTTTAAAGAGGGTAGTTGAGTTTATTCGCACATTCCAATGGCGCGCAGTTTGCATCGTCCAGTTTGCGTCGGGACCGTCTAGTGGAGGGCCCACAGTATTGTTCATTTTAAGTTCTTGGTGGTGGCTTTAAATTATTGAGTAAACATTTTATAGTAGTGTTCGGTGTTCTTTAAATTTTTTTGCAATTATATTGTTGGAGTACTATGTGATTAATTGTATTATGTGTCTTTTACTACAATTAACTGTGCGGGTGACTTCTCGACGCGGCGGTTATAGCTATTTGTTTGTACTTCAGTACATTAATTACTTATATTGTGTACGTTTACGAACCGGAGGACTGTGGCAGCAATATCTTATACAGATTTGGTTTAGGTAAGTGGTTACAGTATTTTTAGTATTTTTTAGAGTTCCATAGTTCTGATAAGGATTAACCCTTATAGTTTCGATATGTCTGTCTGTGTGTCTGTCTGTCCGAGGTTTTGCTTGGAAACTATTGCCACTAGAGAGCTGTAATTTTGTGAACGTATAATATGTATTATTAATCACGCCCACAAAACGGTAAAATAAAATTTTGAAATAATTTTTTTTAGTGTATCTCCCCTACATTTGAAATGGGAATGATTTTTTTTTTCATCTTCTACCCCATCGTGTGGGGTATCGTTGAATAGGTCTTTTAAAATGGCTCGGGGGTGTAGGAAAAATTCGTAATAGTACTGCCTTTCGTAAACTTTCAAGGAAAACTATAACGGTTAAGATACATCAGTTAGTTTAAGAGTAATAGTCATTTATCTCATGTATTATAAAATTTCTTAACTAGTAAACAATAGAGATGAAACGGATATCCGGTAACTATCCGGTAGGCCGGATATCCGGCCTAAATTTACTATCCGGCCGGATACCGGATAGTAACTCACTATCCGGCCGGATACCGGATATTACAAAACTACAATAATTTCCTATTAATAAAATGAAATACATTAATCTTTGAGGTAAACATCAATAAAATGGATTATAATAATGACGGCTTTTATTTAAAGTCCAAAAAGTTACAAAAAAACATATTAAGCCTTTAAAAAAACAAATTTATTTTTCTAGGCAATAGCCCATACATCTAATGACGAATACTTAAATAGTAAATATCTGTTGATTGCCAAATAAAATAGGCGATCTTTTTTTCACTGATGGTCTGATGTCATGATGCAGTTCAGTCAGATTACGCAGCAAGTAAACTAATTTATGGACATCATCCATTTTGGTCCAAAATCAAAAGTGACAAATGCTAAGGCAGACGTGTTCTGTCAAAATACAGCCCTTTTTTTGTTGGCCGGCACTGTAGGTACTCATTAATCAGAGTAATAAATTAACTCCATGAATGAACAGAGCGTATTGAGTAGCGTCCTGCGTTCCCACATCATTGCCCAATACAATTAACAATAGGAAACAATAGTTATACTGTTCCTTGTATGTGTCGGCGGCTGAGCCCGCCAGTTTTATTTTAGTCGCAATTACACCTTTAAAGAAATCACATGTTTTACTGTTCCAACCTTCTGACGTACGTTTTGTGGACTTAACAGTAATATACCTGAACATAACGTATATCAATATAATTACGTACTTACATCGGGTATATAAAAATAACGTACATTGGTGACCCCGACGTGATCATTACGTANGACTTGTACACGGATGCACTGTCTGGCACGATCGATGCCATGCCTCCGGACCGCACTGAGCACTTCGGGTTCACTCGACATAACATCAAAAAATCTCGAAAACTAGCATTGTAAAAATATGGTTGTATTATCTAAAACGAATTAATTTAAGATGTTTTATTTGTCCCTTAAATCTCGTCTGTCTTTTGGAGGTGACCTTATAATAGGCGCTCAGTAAGTTTTCTGTACTGCGGTTACAGAGCACACCGATGCCGCGCCGCTACCGCACCGACAAGTCAGGATACGGCCAACGTGTTTTAATAGTAACGTTCACACGAACATCCCGTTTGCAGTGTTCCGCAACAAACCGATCCGTTCTTCTTCTTCTTCTTCTTTTCGTGTCGACAACAAACCTACATAGTGTCAGCCCAAAACTCCGCCACAAGAGTGGCGTTGTCAGTAGAACTCATCAAATCCTCCTGAGTGCAGTTGCTTGGGCACTCAGGGCATGAAATCAGGTGCTTCATCGACTGAGGAGCGAAACCGCACCTGCACTCCATGTTTAAGCCATCCAACCTGGCCAGATTGTCCTTGGCCAACCTGCGTCCGAAGTCTATTTAAAGATCCGTTCACATTTGCTAATTTCGAATTTCAAACGCACATGTGATATTCACACGGCAGTCCAGTTTTTTGGGATGACAGTCCAGTTGCAGGATGACAGTCCAGTTGCGGGATGACAGTCCAGTTGCGCGATGACAGTCCAGTTTCGGGATGACAGTCCAGTTGCGGGATGACAGTCCAGTTGCGGGATGACAGTCCAGTTGCGGGATGACAGTCCAGTTGCGGGATGACAGTCCAGTTGCGGGATGACAGTCCAGTTTCGGGATGACAGTCCAGTTGCGGGATGACAGTCCAGTTGCGGGATGACAGTCCAGTTTCGGGATTAAATTCTAGTTGCGGGATGACAGTCCAGTTGCAGGATGACAGTCCAGTTGCGGGATGACAGTCCAGTTTTGCGGGATGACAGTCCAGTTTTAAGGGATGACAGTCCAGTTTTGCGGGATTCTTGCGTGAGAACGAGCCCTACAAAATCTGACGATTAAAATAACAAGTCGCCCCAAGATTTAGTCACCATTTATTATCTTTCTTATAAAAGTCTCTCAGAATAAAAAGCGGTAATTAATAAAGTAAAGCAACTTTGATTAATCTGTAGCAATCTCCATAATAATATGTTTGATCCAACTTCTGGAAGTTCTGGGGACATCTGCTCCCAAAGTTCAGTTAGTCAAGGTAATCTGTTGGAGGTTTTTTCTTCTAGTTTTAGAACTTGGTTAATTAATTTTAGGACTGGCCCGCGACTTCGTACGCGTGGATCCCTTAGGGGTGGAGTTTCGTAAAATCTGTTCTTAGAGGATGTCTACCCTACCTGCCAAATTTCAAGTTTGTAAGTAGGTGTTATAGTTTCTAATGATGACTCACCAAACATTTTGAGTATAGGGAATTTTACAATGTAGGTAACTCAAACTAACTCCACTTCAAACTTAAACTACACTCTCTTATTATGACAAAAAAAAGTACTTTTCATCAGAAATAATGTGAAATTCTTATGGTGAAAGAATTTATCAAATCGGTACAGTAAGTAATACCAACGCCTATTCAATAAAATTTGATTGTTTGCTTTCCTTCCCTCTTTATAATATTAGTGGAGATAATGAGGGCTATCGTTTTAGCGCTCACCAGTTAGCGCCACTGTAGAGTAAGGTCCTGTCACTTGCTAGTAGCGAAGACAGTGGCACCAACTGGTGAGCGCTAAAGTGGTAGGAGGACTATCGCATTTGCACTCATCAATATGGCGCCACTGTAGAGTAAGGTCCTGTCAATCGCCAGGGGTGCCAACTGTTAAGTATAAAAACGATAGCCCTCACTGTACAAATCTATTAAACTACGGCAATATTATTGTAACTTAAACGATCATTCTCTCAGAAATAATAAAAGGAAATCTACTAACAAATCTATCGGATTTTCCTTCTTGTACAAAAGAGGAGTATTTCGAGTGATTCGTCGCAGCGGGGAATGGAATGATGAACCTGCGGCGCGTAATAACGCGGGTGAGCGATGTCGTTTATAAGGACAGGGGGTTGCTGTGACACCGACGTGCGAGAAATATTTTATTATTAGCGTGATTTAGTGTTAGCTTTGCCAAAATAACAATAGATGCCACCCGTATTGAGAAGTGACTTGACTTGGCAACTACATATAGGTGCCTCCCGTAGGTAAGAGGTTAAATTATTACCGACAATAGGGATGATGACTGGGTAATGAAATCGAAATTCTATTTAGTCCGTCAGACAGATAATAAAAATATTTTGGACACATTTTTTTTTCATAATCGAATAAATGTCGCGTGACGTCACTTTTGAATAAAAAATCTACTCAAGCGTGACGTAACGCGCCATTTCAACTCGATTTAGCACTATTATTATTTAATTATGAAAGAAAATAAAAAATATGAGTACCTAATATTTTCTAATCTGCCTGACGGACAAATAATTGAATTTTTGTCATCTATCTAGCTTATTGTACAAGAGAAGTATTCTTATTATTACTTTTAGTATAAAAGCAATATTGTGTTTGCAAAATTAATAACTAGGCACTTTACCTAATTTACAGGTTTCTTTTTATCTATGTGCTTCCAAAAATCCAAATACAAAAGGAAAATTGTGTCCTCCTAACTTATTTTTTTTAATTAAATAAGTACCTACCTCACTCATTAAACTTTCTGTGTAGGTTTATTTACTTTTAAAATAAAAGTTTTTATAATCCTTGTTATTTGTCGGGCGGGGATTAACATAGATTTAGCATCGTGCAATGTAAGAAGCCAGACCTGACCAGAAAAAAGGGAATTGAACTGTACAATTTAGTTCAACAAGCGATTTCTCCTCTGGTATGCTTATACAGGTTGTCCCAAAAACAATGGATAACCCTGTAACCATCGATAGGCCTTGCCATGGTCTCCCTAACGTCAAATTTTGACCCCAGTAAAAATATTACCGTTTTCAAGACTTTTATTATTTTAAGATAAGGAAAAAAACTATATTGAAAAATATCCTCATTTTTAGAAATGCATGAGAAAAAGTAATCGCAGGTGACAATTTTCAAAAAATCTTGAAAACGGTGATATTTTTACTGGGGTCAAAATTAGACGTTAGTTCTCGTTAGAGAGACCATGGCGAGGCCTATCGATGGTTACAAGGTTATCCATTGTTATTTATTTATTTATTTATTTATAGGTACAACAACAGAATACAATCTCAAACATTTTTATAGAATATAACATTAGTTTTTTTGCATTCAAATTGAATTCCTATAAATGTTGCACACAACGTTTACATAGAATAGATACAATAAAAAGAAAGGGGTATCGATGCAGAGATATTACAATTTAATCATCATTATGCACCTACCCACATCAATGCTAGGCTACAAAGTTAGGCTGTTTATAACCTTATGATATGAATATAAACTTTGATGAAATATATCCAAGCTTTTTACGTTTTTATTATAAATTCTGCACATCCGAAACAGAGGATCATTGAATGTTACATTATTAGTACAGTTATGTATATGGAACAGTTGTAATGTTCTTCTACTACCACTAATTTTAAAAGACAGATGGCTTAACAGATCCGCCGCATCCCACCGATTATTTAAGATTTTGTATAGTATTGATAGATCCTGAACCGAACGCCGGAACTGCAGTGTGCTTAAGCCAAAATACTCAAGCCTTGTTTCATACGTAGGTAACTTACGCCTCATTCCTAGCCTGGAGCTCAAATATCGCAAGAAGCGCCTTTGGACAGCCTCCAATCTATCAATGTGGTTATTGTATTGGGGACACCAAATAATAGAATTATACTCCAAAACACTTCTCACAAGGGCAAAATACAACAATAACACACTAGCTGACCCTCGAAAATGCTTTGTAGTCCTGAGTATGAAACCAATGGTCTTATTTACTTTTTCAATGATGCTATCATAATGGAATGAGTAACTCAATTTCGTATCCAACCATACGCCGAGATCTTTGACTAACCTTTGACGACTCAGTAAAACATTGTTGATAGTGTATAAATATTGAATGGGAAATTTCTTTTTTGTAAAAGTAATAATACAACACTTTGAGACGTTCAAAGACATACCATTAATTAGACACCAACTGTGTATCCTATTAATATCCTCCTGTAAGAACATAGCGTCTTCTATACGTGCTATTTCATGATATATTTTAATATCGTCAGCATATGCAATACATTTACACGCCATGGACACCAGCAGGTCATTAACGAACATTATGAACAAAAGTGGCCCCAAATTGGAGCCCTGTGGTATTCCCGATGCAGATTCATATGGAACTGAGTCAAAGCCATGTACCGCCACCAGTTGAGTTCTTCGAGAAAGGTAAGAAATTAGCCATCGAAGGAGTACCCCATGAATTCCAAGGTGGAGTGCCTTACAAATCAAAATGGAGTGGTCCACCCTATCGAAGGCCTTGGCAAAGTCAATGTAAACGGAATCCACTTGCAAATGCCCATCAAAAGCCATATTGAGTGTGAATTATGTGATATCAGTAAGTAGTTTTGGGGAGGATTGATTTACATGACATTTTCTTATAAGAACTTATTGAAGTTCTTTATTTTATGTAGTACCTACCTACGTCTTTTCAACCGACTTCAAAAAAGGAGGAGGTTCTCAATTCGACCCGTATGTTTTTTTTTTTTCTATGTTTGTTACGCGATAACTCCGCCAATTATGAACCGATTTGAACAAATCTTTTTTCGGCGTATAGGTAATACCTCAAGGGTGGTCCCATTTAAATTTAATAATAGAAAAACAACCCCCAAGGGTGGAAAATTGGGGATGAACTTTTTTATACGCAATATCTCCGCCGATTATAAATCAATTTGAACGATTATTTTTTTGTTGAATAGGTATTATCAAAAGGGTGGTTTCATGCGAATTTGAAGAAAATATTTCACCCCCAAGGGTGGAAAATTGGGGTTGAACTTTTTATTACGCAATATTTTTAATTTTTAGTTTTTTTTTGTGTTCACGCATTTGAAGTCGGTTTTATTTTTTTTTAAAGTTATTCAGAGCACTAACATCACATACTTAGTTGGTTGATGCTAAGGGGTTTTGAAAAAACACCTTACCTCTATTATTTTTTTCTCTATGTCTGACATTTATACATACCTACCTACGTACTCGTAGTTGAGATAACGTAAAAAAACAAAAAAAGGTTTTACTGCTTGTATTTATTACTAAATTAAAGAGTCTTCTTAACTTCTTACAAATTGTTTGCAAAAATTTATACATTAATCAACTTCGTTCATAATTTAATTATTACAATATAAATTACTAGATTCGATGGCACTTTATAATTTCATCAAACAATAATTTAAATTAATTTGTACAGTTATAGGTACATTTATATTTTAATTTTTGTCATGTTGATTTATCCCATATTTGGGTTTTGAACCAATCTCAAAAGTATATTTTATTTTATTTTTAAACTTTTTCCTTAATATGTAATTAGAAACTTGTGGATATTTGGATATCCACTAGGATTTATTTATTTATTTCCACACATTTACACTTTGTGTTGTTGTATCGGATTGCATATCCTTCGTATCCGAGTGACTATTGTTTAAACACTTAAGTAATACTTGCGAAATCTTAATAATACCTTAAAACTAATCCTCAGAACTAGATTTCGGCTTCAGCCACGAAGTAATGCCGCCCCATATGAGCTGAACTATACTCGCTAATACCTCTAGAATATAAGTAAAATAGTTTTCTCTGGGTTCGTCTTCACCCACGTCATCTAGCGTCAGTCCACCATCATCATCACTGCTCCTGTTGCTATCGACTTCGTTGACAGTATCATTGACGTCTAGGGTCTCTAGTTTTCCTAAAATTGGTAGATAGCTGTTGTAAAGGGTAATTTTTTCTGGTTTCTTATCAGCCTTCTTCAGGGCTTCGACGGACAGTTCTTCTACGTCTCTGTCCTTGGATATGTCGTTGTCAACAGGCAGGTAGTTCGGTTTGGTGACTTCTTCTGGAGTCTCGTCGAGGAGTTCGATCTTCTCCCAAGATTTCCTTGTGGCGTTCTTCTCGGAATTCGTCTTGTTGATGCCGAGGAATCTGGAAAAGTAGTTATAATCATTCATTAGGTAAAGTGTTTATGTAATGCTTTGTAACATAATAAATAAAATAACAGGCTTTATAAGAAAAACTTAAATCAATTAATTAGGTAGGTACTGGATAAATTTTTCTGTCTGAATTCTGTAACTACATATATTTTTAATTTCTAAAGACTAAAATCTTTTGGTTCCTAATTGGTTATCCTAAAAATCACCATCATACTGCTAGTGCATGACAGGATAACTGATATAATTAAAGCGACGATAGCCGAACGGTGAGGGTGTCGGTCTGGCCGATTCGTGATCCTAGGGACTTGGGTTCGATCCCAGCTGCCGCTCGACTATTCTTTACAATTACTATTATTCCAAACTATTCTAACAAATTGCTAAATATTCGTTAAACAAATAGAGTAAAAGTGTAATACCNTTACATAATAATCTTTCATTAGGTACCTTATACGTAAAGTATTTGTACAATTAATTTTTTTGGAATCGTAGCTAACGAATGTGTACGAGAAAAACTTATAGGAAGAATTTGTCTGTAGTGTTTATTATTATTCTGTGGTCTAACCCCTAAGGTGACCAATTTGAATTAGAGTCTTATTCCCGGTTTCACCATCAATCCCTAATTTTTAAGTGACCCCTATGGTAACACATAACAGGAATTTTGTTTTCATAAGGGCCACTTAAAAATTAGGAATTGATGGTGAAAATAGGCATTAGAAGTGCAGATTTCTTTTTTAAATATTGTTACAAAATTTCGACAAACCAATTCCAATGCATTAAAAGATTAAAATTATAGATTCAAGGTTTTCTCTTAAAATCTGTTAAATAACTTTATACCTATGGATTCGGGCTTCTGGCTTGGCCAAATTTATTCTTTATCTATCAAAGCAATAAGTAATTTTAAAGTAATACCTGTATATCGGCGAGGTGATCCTCTCAGCAATGTTGTTGGCTATCTGGTGGTAGACGTCGAGCGACGGGTGGGTTCCCGCGGTGGTGGGTAAGGTGGTATAGACTGACACCACCGAGTCCTCCCCTTCAGGCATGGAGCGACCATTGCAAGGCTGGTACGCCTGAAAAAAAAAACACGAGGGAATTGTTAGGCAATCAAAATAACAGTATGCTGGTACGCCTGGAAATGATAAGGGAGCGGTGTTAGTCTGCTATCATCATCGTGTCAGCCACAGGACGTCCACTGCTGAACATAGGCCTCCCCCAATGATTTCCACACCGTCCGGTTGGTAGCGGCCTGCATCCAGCGCCTTCCTGCTACCATAAAGAAGTCTGCTTTAAACAATACTAATTTTCTTCCGCCTTTTTTGTCGGCACTAGTCCTGAAGTGAGTGTAGGGCGAATGTATTTAGGATGCGTTTAGGTTCTTTGAAAAGGACCCACACATTATAAAGATTTTGTTCCAATAACAGATCGCAAAATGATGCACTAAGTTAACTTTACTTTTTATGTTACTACTTAGGTATATGGAATGAGTGATATTAACATTTTTTATTAAGGTGCAACTAAAATTACGTTTGTTAGGAAAGCATTGCAAAGAGAATGCCCTAAGGCGTTAAGTTCGCTATGTAGGTACCAATTCATAAGGATGGCTTTTGAATAACAAATCAATTATTTCTGAAAAATTGGCCAAGTGCGTGTCGTGCCACGCACAGTGTAGGTTTCTGTAGTTATCCGTCGTTACCAGAATATATTTCAGAAGTAAGCAATTACTTCATCTAAAGTTACTTAATATTTTCTTCTAAGGATTTTTTGTTAGGTATGAAATTTTATAATACCTACTTGAGTAAAACGTCTATTACTCTTGAACTAACTGCTAAAGCTAGATAGCTTAACCGTTGTAGTTTTCCTTGAAAGTTCATAAAAAGCACTATTATCATAAATTTTTCCAGATTTTTAAGCTAGCAGTTTAGTTTTTAAAGGGAGGGGGGGGGGTAAAAATTCTACCATTTTGTCGTCGTGATTAATATACATACCTCTACAAAATTACAGCTCCCTAGTAGCAATAGTTTCCAAGCAAAACCTCGGACAGACAGACATATTGAAACTATTAAGGGTTCCTTGTCAGGACTACGGAACCCTAAAAAGGTGCTTTATGTTTGGCGATTAACATTTTAAAATCATTATTGAATATTAAAACCCTTATAACACTTCAGCCAATAAACTTGTTTACTTTCTTTCACCATATTAGGCTCGTTCTCAGCCGCTGACATGCTGTCATTCAGCAATACTTCCATCTCTTCATCCATATTCCATACACGTAAAGTCTTTTTATTTCGCACATATTCGTCTCAGTGAGTGAACGAAGTGCATAGAAAGAGCCAAAGTTGAATTAGCAATTTCAATCATGAAGCAAAATAATTATTATGTATTTCTTTTCGTTTTTCGCTGCTACTTGTTAGCGCTGGTCCACATTATTAATCCTAAGCAATATTATGTAGGGGTTAATATTTTTGGGCCTTTTAATGACAATTTTTAAATCTACACTTAATATTATAAAGCTGAAGATTATGTTTCTTAGGGCGCGCTGATCTCAGGAACTTCCGGTCCGATTTGAAAAATATATTTTTGTGTTGAATAGCCCGTTTATTGAGACAGGTATAGGCTTTATAACATCACGCTACAACTTTTGAAACAGGGACATCAGCTTTTGAAACAGGGACGCACGCGATAAAGTTTTTCTGTGACAGACAAAATTCCACGGAAAGCTAGTTAAAAATATTGCGAAAACGGGGTAAAGTCGCGGGCACAGATAGTGAATTTATTTTGGCCAAATATTTTGTGTATTCAACGAATCACATCATGAATTTTTATGGCACAAACGCAGCGTTTTAAGCGTGCGTAAGGTGCCTATTGTGACCAGTCCCTAACGTCGAACGTACGTAGGTAAAGCCTGACCGATGTTCCTTTTATGCCTTTTCCGTTCACCCAAGCGACTCACTCTTTGATGGAACGTGTACAAATATACATAATATTATGTTATAATTTCTCCGAAAACACATTTCGTATTCAAGGGAAATACAGGTGAAGTGAGTATAATAATTTTTTATTTCGTGTAACGCGTCGATATTTGAGATACGCTGAAATTTCCCTGGGGTCGGTGGTAATAAAATAAAATATGTTATAAGATAAAAAATATAATAAGATTTATCTCACAGCTACAAGCTATTTTACTATAGTAGGTACTAGGTGTTTCTTAACAATGTATAGGTACGTCTAAGATTCAATTCTTAATCTAATTCTTCGTTTTCGTGTATGTAAAAAACTTCACTTCACTGGTCCTCATAAAAAAGCGAATCAAATAAGTATGTAATTTATTATTTTTCTTATCATTGCACAAGCTTATAATTTATAAATCTAGTTTTATAGTCTCCAATCTACATCATAGATCTGCATGAGATGCTATTATCACTTTAATGAAAACAAAATCTAAACAATGATTCTTGGAATATTGTGACAAAACAAATATTATTACTTATATTCATTATCTTATCAAACATCACGCATAATTTGCACAAACCTTAATACTTTCAACGCAACGACAAATACTTAAACAAAAGATTTCAATTTCTAGTAACTCGTTCTGTTGCAGATAGAGTAATAATTAAATGTAATTTCCACAACAACCTGCCCGGCGCTGCCCGTATCCAAGTACTTCCCGCGACCTTCACCAGATCGTCAGTCCACCTAGTGAGAACGCATTTATAGTAAAAGCTAAAATTTGAACTTGGTGATATTTTTCACAAATCAAATGTTGCTGTGTTTACTTTTTATTTGAGATTAATTTATGTTTTTCTTTTTTTCTAGGTAAGTCATTTGCTGTTAAATTTCATTGGAGTCACCGCGGGAATTCCTGTGAGTGTATTTATTTTTACTTTATTCTATGTATTGGATTTAGGCTATGTGTGTTTCAGGAGAAAGTTAAATGATGTTTTTTCCAGCCAATTGCTAGTAGTTTACCTAAGCCACAAAAACTAGGTTCGCCACATACTTCACAAGTTAACTAAAGAATAGACGTTTCCCAAATATGCTAATTTTCTTATGAAACTACTACATAGGAATAAAATTAAAACGGTAACAAAGGTTTGTTTATGAACACAGATCGTTATAAATAAGACAAGGCGGTATAAATAACAAAAACAGGGATTTTAAAATAAATCTTGCGTTGTTTATCTTTTGAAGTAAGGTAGGTGTAGGGTGAAGGAAATGAAGGAAAATTTTTGAGGAAATTCGGCAATTTTAGTTCGTTTTTGGAAGGCCAAATGTTTTAACGAGACAGATAGTGACCCTAAGATGTTATGTTGGATGTGATTATTGCAATTAAAAGTGTTTTTAATCACAACTTTTTAAACGACCGTTATGCCAGGATAAAAACGGTCCTGTTTTTCCCAGTACCTTATGCTACTTCTATATTAAAAAAAAACAGTTCAGTAGTTTTAAAAACAGACCTATTTTCACATTTATAATATTGGCATGAGTATATTAAAATTTAGCAGTAGTATTATGCCTCCATAACCCGTTTGGCCAGCGTAGGGAGTGTAGGCTAATTTATCCATTTGCCCCTGCTAAATACTGGGGTCATACTTTGGTAAATGACCTGATTATAAAAACATTCTTAACTTTGCAATAGAGAAACACACCTTAATTTCGAACTCCTCCTATGTTCTTCTGATTAATTTCGTTGCGGGTCCAATGACAGTTTAACTTTCCCCCGGGACAAACTTGACCTTCATTGGTTGGGTTTTTGTGGCGGTCAAGCTGTAGATCCTGGCTACACAGGAGTTGCAGTGGTGGGAACGAGAGGTGGGAATAGTCCCGTAATAGAGAAACACAGATTATTAAAGTTACTACGATATTGCTACGAATGTAGGTAACAAAGAACATGTATAAACCTAAGCGCATACTAATCCCCTCTTAACCCATTAACGCCCNACAGAGATAATCACAACTTTTTAAACGACCGTTATGCCGGGATAAAAACCCTATGCTACTTCTATATTTTTCATAAAAAAAGTTCAGTAGTTTTAGTGTGAGAAGGTGTCAAAAAAACAGAGCTATTTTCGCATTTATAGTATTGGCATGAGTAGGTATATTGTAGCAGGCAGTACTAGTATGCCTCCCTAACCCGTTTGGCCAGCGTACGGAGAGTAAGCTAACTCCTCCATTTGGCCCTGCAAAATACTGGGGTCGTACTTTGGTAAATGACCTGATTATAAAAACATTCTTAACTTTGCAATAGAGAAACACACCTTNTGGTAAAGTTCTATAGACTAGCCATCTGATCTACCCCATTGATCTTCTTATTATACTGGAGCTGGACACCCTGTGGTGCCTAACTCAACTTTTTTTTCTCAAGAGACCCCATATAATGACCTTTCCCAATGGTTATAAAGCATCAAAATTTGTTCCAATAGTACCCACATTATTATCTTTCAATCAATACTAATAAAATTATTTTTGCCTTGTCGAATCTGTCTCTAGGCTTTTTGTGAAAATCTTTATAAGTAATCAAAGGATACCGTTTGGTTCTGTTTTCACGTGTGGTTCCAAAAACTATGTAACTAAGTCTCTTTAGGTCGACAAACAGCTCGTAATTGGGAAAACAATATGTTTCTTTTTGTTGTCTGTAACCCCATAAATAAAGAGCCATGTTATCGAAAAAAGAAAACAATGATTACATATAAAAACTATGAAGAAACAAGTAAAAACTCTAATAATAATGCCGTTATTGTACTATTTTACGTAACATGTCAAGCGCCCATTGTACTAAACTTAGTACAGCATCACTTTGGGAGTTATAGCATGAAAAAAAATCTATAAAATGAACTTTTTTAGGTATTTTTTATTAGAATATGTTGTTAGCTAATACAAAAACAACATATTTGGTATTTTGTGTAACTTAAACCTTGCATAAAAAATTATCAAGTACCCACTAGAGGATACGAAAAAATCACTGAAACGAAATCGCAAAATACCCCCTTAAGATCGTATAATTATGGTCTGTTTCATCTCAGGATATAATGCATAGACCTTTGTTTACTGATTGGAATTATTTCCAGAG